TTTTTTTTTTTTTTTTTTTTTTTGCCTTGGGTTTTTTGGATATTTTTCTCCTGCGCTTGTAGTAAATATCAATATCATTACGTATTTATTGCGGGTGCCTGGGGCTGTGTGTGCTTATGAAAGGAGGCGAAAAAAATGAAAGCTTTTGAAATATTAACCTTATTGTGTTGGAAAATGCGAACACTAATACACGTACGAAAAAAAAAAACTCTTTTACCACACACGCGAAAATAACATCAAGAAATAATCATAAAAGTAACGGAAGAAATATACTTTCTGGTTGTATTACAATGCTCGATTTTTTAATCTGATGATGCTTTTCATTTTTGCTTTTTTTTTTTTTATCCCCGTTATCAAAGACTTTCTTGACCACGTCCGCATTGCAAAGAGAACCGCTTGCAACCACGCAGCGGAAATGGTAATTGCAAATACACGTATTAATGGTTTAGAAAATGACAAAACTTTCTGGTATATTGCGATGTCTCGCGCAGCATGAGAGGAAGTTCTGCTTTGTTCACTCTTGTCTTTCGTTTATTGCCACTTCGCTTCGTTCATTGCTTTGTTGGTTTCTTTCATTTTCGTCTCTCTTCACACGTCTCTATTCTGTGTTTGTTTTGTTTTATTTCCTTCGTTTTTCTTTATTCGTTTTGATGACGGATTTGTTAGTCTTCGTTATCTTCATCAACGTCTTATTCCTTTTCTTTATGGTTATTCTCTTGATCTTTTAGTTTTCATTGTCTTTCCTCCATTCCTTTATCTGCGTATTATTTATCTATTTATCTATCTATATTCATTTATCAACAACCTCCTTATTTTTTTCCTTTTCTCTCTTGAAGTAAATATAACTATGTCACAATTTCCAGGACAAAGAAAACACGGATAGATAAGGCAGACTAAAAGACATGCAAATGAATGAATAAATGAATAGGTAGAAATTATTAGATAGAGAGATGAAGAGATAAACAGATGAATAAATAGATCGATGTATGAAGAAATAGAAGCATAAACAAATACATATACAGACACAGACACACAGACACACACATATACGTATGCGTGTGTGTGTGTGTATTTTACAGTGTTTTACGAAATTGTTTCCTCCATAACTTGTCAGAGCAAATATTTGGGAAGAGGAAAGGAATGTGATGCACGGACTGAAACCCTAAAGCGTGAACCTCCCGCTGAACACGCTGCAATAATTCCCGTTCCATAANCTCTCTAACACCTCAAGAACCTAACCAGTGCCTTACCACCTTCAACATCACATTAGTAGCAGACAAAGTGAAAAAATCCTTGTCACAGCATCACCATGATAACAAATGGCCTTGTGCAATTGTTTGGCCAGTGTTTACACCAAATGGAGATCAATCTTTCTTGCCTCTTAATTTACTCCTTTTGTTGTCAGATACTGGATAATATGAAAACATGCTTAGACATATGAAAGTATAATATAATAATTAAATGGGGACGTCCTAATATACAGCAGTTTAGCAAGTCCAGTCAGATACAACTTCCCCATTGATTAGTGTATTATGGACAATAATTTGCATAATATACACCCCGTGCTTATGAATATATTTGAAGTCAAGAAAGTATTCTTAGTGTTTTGCCAGTTAGTGAAGACTGAAAACCAATGGTCTAAACAGTGAAGATTTCTGAATACTCCAGCCGCAGGTTAGTCACCAACATAAAAAAATCAGGTATTTCCACTCTTTGTAAAAATTATCCATAAAGAAAAAGTACACTTAAGCCTTCAACCAGCAGTCAACATATTACTGCATCGTCACAGGAGCCTCGATCCCAGCTAACCCCATCCAATCTCTCATTACCACGGCCAATCTCCCTACCATTTTTTCCCATTTGCACCCCACCCCGCTATCAGAATGCCCCTTACCTTCACCCCACAAATGAATAAATATGCAACCAGTCTCCCCCTTACACCTAAACCCATGACCAACACCCCTCCGCTCCACTTTTATCCGCCCAAAGTCAGCAGATCTGCGACCTTGCTGACGCCCCATTCTCCTCTCAAGATCTATAAAAGCAAGGTCTATATAAATACTTATATAGATCTTGCCTCCTCTAGCCCTGAGCCAAGCAAGCGCTTTCCTGACGACGTTGAAACATCCATAACTACTAAGGAAGCTGTCACATACATAAACTAAGAAAAATCTACACCAAAAAGCTTTAAAAGGAGAAAAATTAATCTTCCATCTAATTGCCACTGGGAAGATGCAACACCACGACTGATTAGAGTCCTTCCCACCCTAGTACTCCTCCTCTTACACAAATGGCCTTGTACAAATGCCGCTTCTCGTTATTGACAATTGAGCCGAACGAACTGAACCAAAACAAGAAACTAACGGGCGGTTTCAAGCCTGCTAACAAATTGAGTGCTACGTCGCCATTACCCTAAAAACAAGGGAGGGAGGAATGTTACATCAAAATCATTGCAAAATGCAGAACGCCTTCGGGTTGTATATTTATACGATACAAATTA